CAGATTTTTATATGGACTTTGATTCCTCCAACAGGCATATAATACATTAAAGCAAGCAATCATATTGCTCGCTTATGAGTGTGGCACAAACCACATTTGTCCATGCTCATTCTTCATGGACAGATGGATAATTCATCTATATTTGCACTGGGACTTGATAGTCCAGTTTTGTAGCAGACTTGTAGTTGCTATTATTTTACGAAGATAGTTTGTGGGAACATCATTCGTGATATGTAGACTAGGCAATGCAAACTCTTTTTGATTATCTTTGATATTTAGGTTTTTCCTGTGTCCACATTTTTCTTGTGTGCGTCAGTATTTTCTGTCTTACTAAAGAAAGGCAGTTTTGGCACTTTGTCTCAAAATTGTGAAGCATTGCTACAGCTCTTTGCTGTTTAGGTAATTTCTTGCCCAGAGTAGGGTTTTTTTGGAACTCAGATTTTCCTGTTAAAGGAAATGATGAAATGGAAGAAGTGAAGGCATACTGTGTGCTGTTGCATGCTGATAGCCACATTAAAGATTCTTCTTGCCAGAATCGTACAATATCATTTGAGATGTTGCTCCTTACAAGCAGATGGAAAGTCAGGTTGAAACGCCAACTCTTCTGACCCTTTCCATTTAGAGAAAGGCTTTGATGGAAGTAGCTTCAATTCCACCCAGTAATAATTTGTCTGACCCTTTCTTCACCGCATCAGTCCTCTGGTCAGTCCCAAGATAGGGATTGCGGGAATGAGTTGTCCCGGGTTTGGTGTGTAGCAGCTTAACCAGATGTCTGCTAGGCTTGGACTTTTCCACAAAAATCCTGGGTCTCAAAGAGTAGTTATGATTCCTTGCAAGTATCCTTTGAGAATTTTTTCTTTCTCTAGGAAATAGTTTTCTTTTGTTAGAACTTCAAAACACCTGGGAAACTGAGCCAATTTGATGTTTTATATCCCTGAAGTCCCTTATAATAAATTAACTTATTTTGTGGAGTCTGCAAAAGCAGCAATCCAGTATTACAGCAAGTGTGCTCTGGGAGTGCTAGAGGCCACAGAACATGGTGATTTGCTAATTTAAGCTAGTGTTGAAAAGATAAAAATATTAGCTTTTGCATAGCTGACCTTGTTTCTGTCAACAAATTGTTTTGAGAAGAGCAATGAAAATGCTCCTTGGAATGGAAGTGTCCGCTCTGAAGGGAGGAAGTGTATTCACTTTAAAGCTTGTACTTTGGAGTGTATTTCAGTGCTGTCTACATAGGAAAGATTTAAGCACAGCTTGGGTGCAGGAGCCGAATTGTATTTTGGAAACAATGGTGGTTTACCACTGCTGCAGTGTATAGTAAGTTCAAAACCAGAAAACCAGTTTGGTAAAACATGAAGCCTGAAGTGTGGTTCTAGACTTCTAGACTAGTTTGAGGGCAGTCTGCTTTCTAAAGGTGAAATGGTGATATGTCTTGGCTGCCTCCTCCTAATAAATTAAACGTGCCTGGGAACGTTCCCAGGCACTGTGGCCAACTGGCTCAGGATTGCCTTGTCCATACTCTTAAACTTTTAGCTACCAGGGCAGGGTGGCTGCATCTGAACTGCCCAGTGCCAGTGATCCTGATGGTGTGCTGACTCACAAACTTGGGAATTGTGTGGGAGAACACTTAATTGGCACAGCCCAGTACTGGGGAATGTCTTAGCTGCTTTCTAGCATAGATGGTCATGTTCCAGGGCCTGGGAATGTTTCCAGACAGGACTTATGAGTACAGATGTTAGTCCTTGATTCGTCCAAATTCTTTATGGACTAAGGCATAGAAGGACTCTTCATATCACAAGGGGTTTAGGACGCTTCAGAAAGATAGGTTTAGGAGTGAGTGCCTCCTGTTTATTTTGGGGCAGTAATGCTGTGCTGCTAAAAAGTCTGCATCTTCTGTCTGTCTCCCTTTTAGATTGTTTTAGTGGTTGTTTAAACCTCTTTCAGAATGCAGTCACCTTCTTTCCATCTTCCACCACCTTTTTGGGATGAATAGTAGTGTCTGCCCTCTGTCATGCTATTGCTGGTGTATGAGTGAACATACTGTAGCCTTTCGTGGAAGTGCTGTGTATGAAGTATGCTTTTTATGATTGTGAGGAATTTCATTCTGATTTGGTGCACGTGTATGTGAATATTAAGAGCCCTAGTTTACTGTCTGGGTGACATGGTGGGGGGTCGGTCTTGCATCTTTTAGACAGTGGATCTTCTATGTGAGCAGGAGAGTGGGGACACCACTTTATTTCCTTAGGTTTTTCCTCCAGTGAAGAGTAAAAACTGTGTCGAGCTGGCTTTATTGATCATGTAGATGATTTCCTGCAGGCTCTTCAGTGTTTGTGGATTACTGGAACTGAAGTATAATTCTAGTGTAGATAAGCCAGTAAAACATTGATATTAATGCCAGCTCTAAGCAGACGTACATCCTGGAAGACAGCATATCATGTAAGCTGCTGCATAGCGAAGTGGTTTTGCTCTAACTGATCGCTTTTTCTGTACCTCCTGGCCTGCCCTCCCTCCATGGTGTTCTGAGTTTGATTGAACGCTACAGCTCTGTCACACTGTCGTCAGGATACTGTTTGTCTTTCCGTAAGTTGTGGAATGCACTGTGGGCTTTGATAGTTCGAATATTTATAGACAAGAGGTTAGCAATATAAAATACTGTTCCTATTCGTCCTGCTTTCTCAAGAGCTATGAAATTTCACTTTTGTGTCTGCTGTCTTAAAACATGCATAGCAACTGCTTGGCGTGTCACATTTACACCAGTGATGCGCCCCACAGTTTTGGGAATGGGTAATCAGTGTGACAGCATCAGCTTTGGAGCACCGCTTTGTATAAAGGATCCGTTGCTCAAAGGTAGTGAACTGTCAGAGCTGACTGTGTCAATTAACATGCAGCAGGCTTTGTGTCTGCTGATTGTTCTTCTGATTTAATGTGCACGGTGATCTGTCTTACCAGCAGTAGTGGTGCACATTTAAGGACACAGCACAGGGCAGGGAAGCTCCCTGGTGTCGCTCAGGCTGCCTGTGTGTCTTCAGGGCAACTATTTCAGTCCTTGCACAGCTTCTAGCAGCCCGCCATTCGGGAGACGTCTTAGGAATATGAAAAAAGAGAGGCTGCAGGCTCTACTGTGGCAGCGATGGTCAGTATCCCTCTTCTGCCCGCTCACCTTCTGGAGAGCTGTGAAACTACCTGTGTCTGAGATGGGTGTAACTTCTTCAGGACAGTTGGCTCTTTTGAAGAGCTGGATATATGTCAGAGAATGGGCCTTTGCATGTGGCTCTGCTGCTCTCTACTAGAGAAAAAGTTATCTAGTACAAGATTTTACTTGTATCTATAATGAGTAAAATGTCAAAGGCTGTATTTTATTCAATAATTTTATTTGTGATAAACACAGGCTGCTGCCCAAAATTGCACTCCTCCTGTGTAGTGCTTGTGTAGCTCCTTAGCGAACAGAAAAACTGATCTGGTTGAAGAGTAACTCAAAATATTAGTTTTCAGCCACATGTTCTTTGGTCAGATAGCCAGTTCATTGGTTTGGGTTGCTGCTGAATTGCATGGACATTTCAGCCTCCCTGGGACAGTGTTGGAAATGTGATGTGTGGGACAAGGCAAGAAGGGACCAGAACCATTTGTTCCCTTTGTCAGTAGCCCACACTTGTGTTTTATTGAAGTCACTGTGGAATCAAGGTGGTTGTCAGCCCTGAGAGTGGTTTTAAGAACAGCGCTGTGCTGTCTGCTCTTTTGTTTCATAACGCTAACAAATTTTCTCTGTGTAGGGGCGAGAAATAGAGGTACCTGCTTAACTTTTCTTCCCTTGAACACTTGATCCAAACTTGTGAGCGTATCGGCTAAGTTTAGTAGCTTAAATTTAAATAGCAAAGCCTATGTTTAAAACTAGGAGTTGGGTGAACATGGATTCATTTCTTTCTGTTGCAGCCTTTCAGAAGTTATTAACTTTAAAGGTAATGTAGCAGCCAGTCAAACTTCAGGCTTTGTAATGAGGGACTGGGATTGTAAGTTGCTTGTCGAATAATTCTCTTCGTTTCTGAGGTGCCAAGTTTAGTTGTGTGTTATGTAAAATAAACTCTCAGTTTTCAGTGGACACAGAGCAAGCCTATGACAGAGCTGAGCTTGATTTATGGTTCTGAAAACATGCTGCCCATTCACAAGCCCATGTTGTTTTCTTGTTTTACTTAAATCTGCTGGTTTTAGTTTCTGTTGATCAATGGAGACTCCTTTTTCCTTACTGTTGTGATCTTGTCATTGAACCAGTTTGGTAAAGAAATAGATGTCTTTCCTTTCTTCTCGCTTCATTTAGCAATTGAAGTTTTGTTATTCTGTAGTTAAGACTTAAAATACTGTACTGTAAAACTGCGTTAAACATTCTGTGTTTTGTATACAGTGGAAAAGAATATTTAGGTTTTTTGATCAAGAAGAGTACAGAAAACAGTGGGAAGCATCAGCTACAATGTGCTTTTCTTCAGAGTTCGGATTTTCCTGTTAGGGGAAAAGCAGCAAATTAGTATGTGCATGGAGAACGAGATTAATGCTGAAGTGGTGGTGGTACATGAAAGATAGATTGTGACGTTCGGTTTCCAATACACATTGTGTTTGTTTGAAGTCTTAGGGAAGTTTGTGTTTAAGAACAAACAAAAACAAAAAACCCAACCCAGAAACTACCCTTTAAAACTGAATTTTGTTAAGAGCTAGGCTGAGGAAGTTTTGCCTGTTTTAAGGAACATTACAACTGTATTGACTACTTAAAACCAGAAAACGTGTTCACCTTTTAAAAACATTATCATTTACCTTGAATCACGTGTTCCATTTTGATAGCCTCCTTCATATAGAAAATATAGCATGAGATGTCAGTTTAAATGCAAACCTAGCAGTGCTCTATCTTCTATGTGAAAGGAAGTATTCTGTACATTTTTCCATGTTTGACATCATGGTGTTTTGAATAACCATGTTCCATATTCATATCAATTTTTTGTTTTTGTTTTCAATTTATGCACAGCACTTGCTCTGAAATTTGGGGACTGAGTACACCAAACACGATAGATCAGTGGGATACTACAGGCCTTTACAGCTTCTCTGAACAAACCAGGTGAATATTCTGCCCTCTCTCGCATCATAGAAGTCTTGTGGGAGGGATTGGCTTTGGAGGGTCTGTAATGGGATGCTTTAGCTGTAAAATACACTAAAATGCTTCCTAGGCCTCTCATGGTACAGCATTTTAAAATATTTGCTTGCCAGTGTAGAAATCTAAGTGTTCTCAGCTGATGTTTTGACCAATGAAACTCTAATTCTAGAATATTCCTTTTTCACACCAGTGCCATTGAAAGAATGGGAAGACTTGTTAAATGCAAGCTCTAATGTGATTTGGTATTTGTATTAACAAAGTTGGGAAACTTAATTCTCTAGACCTAATCTTACAAAGTGTTTAAACTGCTTTGTATGCCACAAGCTTTCAGTTAAATCTTGCTAATTGGCTCAGATACAAGCTACTAAAGAATTGTTTGTAAATTCTTCAGTAGTTAATGGTGGGCAAATTCTAAACAGGGTCTTTATTTTTTCATGTCATATTACTTGATTTGTGTATTGAGGTTTGTCTCCCATCCCATAACGATCATAAACATCTGCATTTGTGTAAGCATATGCAGTCTGTCTTAAAACTAGCAAAACGTTTTCAGCTGGTAGCAAGGCAGATGAAGTCAAGAAGATAAACTGTACAGCATTCATGCTTTGTGCATTACAGTTATGCTGCCGTGTGGATCACTTGGGCACCCGACTGCTTATAGGCTTATTTGCAGTTCTGTGGGAATTCTTATGCTTAAAGCCATAAAGCATCCATGCCACAGCAAAGCCTTGAGGTTTAGCAGTGGAAGGGACTATGAAGTGTGTGATTTTATTTTATTTTTTTTTTAACAACTGTCTTCTGCATTTAAAAAAAAATATATATAAAGCAATCCCCCTAAATGCTTAGTTGGAGGTAAAGTGGCTTTTAATGAACTCTAAGTTCACTGGCAATAATTTGAGCAGCTCAAAAATAAGTTAAGACACTGCTTGATGCCATCATTGTTATCAGATTTGAAGCCTTTTAACAAGAGCATAAACGTCACTAACAGTGTCAATGCACTGAATTCTGAGAATAAATAAACTGCCCATCCCATGCGTGTGCGCTGTTGCTTGAGCGGTGAAGAGACAGCGTGCAGCCTGTAAATGCCTCTCGACGTCTCTCCCATATAGATCTCTCGATGGCCGTCTACAGGTATCTCACCGTAAAGGATTACCTCATGTCATTTACTGTCGCTTGTGGCGCTGGCCAGACCTTCACAGTCACCATGAACTCAAAGCTATTGAAAACTGTGAATATGCTTTTAACCTCAAAAAGGACGAAGTGTGTGTAAACCCTTACCACTACCAGAGAGTGGAGACGCCAGGTAGGAAGACTGCTTCTGACTTTCTGTACCGGCATCTGTACATACTTGTTCAGCGTAATGTTTTAAATGAAAAATAAGAGAAAGATGATGCTTTCTCATGCCAAAATTACAAGATGGTTAGAGATACAGCTGTTGAGAATACCATCCCCTGAAAGTTTTTAGTAGTAAAGACAGTGAAAAAATCTTTGCTTTACGAATGTGTTGAATAACCCGATAAACACTTCCAGTACAGCTAGTGGTTTCCAGCTGGCTGAGTATGGTCCAGCATGACAGGAAGAACAGAGATGACTTACCTTTGCTAATGTGGAATAGTCTTGCTCAATAGTCTTACTCACCTCAGGAGTCTGTTTCTTCCAGTAACTAGCAGTACGATTGCAGTGTTAACTGTATGGAGGGTCAGAAAATTTCAGAACTTCTAAAGAAATTGTTAGATGTTTTAGACTTTATGTTGGTTTTTTTTTTTCTTTAAGCTTGCAGCAGCGTGTATTTTGAGGATCTTACTAATGCTTCGGATTTTGCTTTTCCAGTCCTGCCTCCCGTACTAGTGCCACGGCACACTGAGATTCTAACGGAGCTTCCACCTCTCGATGACTACACCCATTCCATTCCTGAAAACACTAACTTTCCAGCTGGAATTGAACCACAGAGCAATTACATACCAGGTATTTTTTTTAACTCCCACTGTAAACAGTACACTTAACATTGAGCCACTGGAATAAAGATGGTGATTTCATCTTCCTAAGTGATCAAATTAATTGAAAAATGCACCAGTAAATTAAATTTAGTTGATTTTGTGTGTTAATTCCAGTGGAAATACCTGTTGCTTGCAGAACATGGTCCTGTGTGAAACCACATGGCTGTGGTTTCACAACAGCTTACTTGGTTTCAATAGCTTATTTAAGATTCAGAATGCTAATGAGTACAAAGTAGACCTTCACCTTACAGTTTAAGCCTGTTTTACAAACATATAGGGGTTGTTTATTGGAGATTGAGTAGTAAACTGCTTCTCAATCTCACCTCAGTCTCGCCTAATCTCAATTAAAAAATGGTTTAATCTGTAGTTTGCAATCGATCAAGATCTGCTTTGTGCATTTGTTGCTATTGTGTGCGTGCAGTTTTGTCTTTTTAGTAGGAAAGAACAACCTAACAATATTGAACTCTTTAAGAATTCCTCCTCCCATTCTTTGCCTCTTCCCCACCCCAAAACAAACACCAAAACTAGTCTGCTACAGTGCACCTGAAAGCCTGTACATTATTGAAACAAAATCAGTGACCTCTGTTTCCTGCTCCAACTTCCTGTTTCCTATCTCTTCAGGAAGTTGCCTGGAGTGTAAAACTAAGCAAAGCTGAAGTTTTCTCATAAATATTTAGTGCAGCTATGTCACGAACAAGCTTAAAGTTCAGATCTGGACTCTCACGAAGAATAAGAGGGCTTCCTTGAAACTCAGGCATGTGCAATGGATAAATTGGACTTACATGTCTTAAACAGGGTGTAGCTTGTGTTTTCTTTAAATGTATCCAAGAATTGAAGTGACACTAAAAAATTTTCAATTAATTTGACCTCATCTGTTTAATTTGTGCCATGTTTCTTGCCACCTAGGGACAGCAGATCTTTGAAGAGCGATTTAAGGTGCTAGAAGTTGGTGTTGCTTTCTTAACTTATGTATGCTTTTTTGACTCAATCTGAGGGCTTTTGGTGGCATTTCCAAACAGCTTACTGGAAAGCCATGTTTGAAAACCCAGTGCTGTGGAGATGAGCTAAAGCAACTCTAGGTAGTTATTCGCAGGACATCTGTTCAAGGTGATCGCAAATATTCACGTGATATTCAGATGTTTATGCAGCTAACCACACCTTGCCTCCTCCTCTTTGTCACTGACACCCTCCTGTTGCTTTCGTATCGTGGCATCTTAACTTTATTTGACCTTGCTAACTTAATCTTGAATATTCAGCCAGGTTCTGATAAGTCTTGTGTGTCTCGTCAGCCTGCTTCTGAGAACCGTTTTCTTTAGCGGTAGGCCAGACCGACAACCATGGCAGTTTTGCATTGCAATACTCTCCCAGTATTGAGAGGTTGACCAACAGAGAGGTTGGTTTCACCTACAGCTGGGAGTATGGTGACTGTGAAGGTGCAGGATGGCCTTTGGGTCTCTGTGCTCCGTTTCAGGCTGCAAACGCACTGAGCCACGTTGTCCAAACTTCAGGCAACATTCAAGCTCTGCTGAGAATTTTTAATGCTCTACTTGAGCATTTATTTCCAGCTGTGGTGTTGCTCAACCTCTGACTCTAAAATGATATTAATAGTACTAGGTAGAGGAAATCTTCTCTGTCAGATAGAGACTAGATATGGAAAATAATCTTTGCCAAAAAGCCTAGATTAGCAACTGGAAACAGGAGGCGTGGGTTGCATTGGAAATGGTTATTGACATTTTACCATGGCTGTGGGCTTAACTATAATGAATGATTTGGAGGTGGGTGGAGTCCACTCTATCACAATGAATTCTGTAAAAATGTTCAAAACAAGTATGATTTTTGTCTTCATACTTCTTGCTAGTAGAGATTTCCCTTCCTTTTAAATTTCACTTGAATTTTGTCACATCTATATTTAGTGCAATAGTTTTACAGAATGAACCAAAGATATAATTCTTTCAGTTGATTTTTATTTAATCAACTGACTTAATCTCGTTTCCTCTCGCCGACTTCCTTCTGATCTTGCTGTGTTGCTGTAGATCTCAGACATGACATTTGAAATAATTTGATTTTTAATTCTTAAAAAAAAAGCTTTATCTTTAAATTTCTGCTGTTTGGTAATGGTATAATTAAATGTGTTTAATTCCTCAGATGTCTCAGAGACAATTCTAAGGTGATTGTAGACATAGTTAGCTTCAAACTCTTTCACTGAAGAAATCTAGGTTTTGCCTTTAATATAGAGGAAAAGACATTTGCCCAGTTCAAAGAAAATTGTTTCCTGACAGGCGGTTGGTTAACTCATTATCTGGATTACAAAGTACGTTTTGAATGGAGAAAAGGAACAACCATACTCTCCTGGGTTTTGAAGATATTTCGTGGAATTAAACACAGTTTCTAGTATCAGAATGCTTCAAACTTGTAACTGGGTTTACTTTGGTCTGTGAAACTCCATCTTTAAAGAAAGCTAGATAAAAGAATAGACGATTGTTTTAATAGAGCTTGAAAGTAATAATTGTAATAGAGCTTGTGGAGCGTAACTAGTTAGATAATACAGTTATCATTAATAAGTGAAGTCAGCTGCTGGGTGTTGAAGAAAAATGGATTTGAGGACTGAACGGGAAAATAACCTTTAAATCTAGCAACTTCTATAAGGCGTGGGAGGGTATCTGATCTGATGGTTATACTACATAAAGACAGCTTACTTTTTTTTTTTTGGTAGAAATCACCAGATGGGTTTTTTCATTTGTAGTTCTGCTAAATGTGAAAGCTGTTGATCACAATTGCAAAATCGTTACTCATTGTAGTGAAAGTCTCTTGTCTTAAATGGAACAAACAAGGATTATCTGTTAATTATATAACATATTTGAGCAATTGACTGCATACAAGGGATGATACATTTTACATAGACAGTAAGGCAGGTAATGGGTTTGAAGTTCTACTGGAAGGAAAAAGGGACAGCAAAATAGAATTCTAAGTCAATGTTCAGATATTGTATGGGGCTTGTGAAGACTTGAGGATGAAAACCCCAAATGTTAAATTTTACAAATTTCCCCAGTCTCTTTGAACCAGTAGGTGGATACTTTTTTTTATTTTCCTGACAGAAACACCACCTCCGGGGTATATCAGTGAAGATGGAGAAACAAGTGACCAGCAGTTGAACCAAAGCATGGATACAGGTAAAATTTATTTTTTCACTACTTTAAAGACTTGGGATTACTAGTTGTGATCCCTCTGCATAGTGACATGAGTTCAGCCTGAATGATGATGGCAGTAGCCCTCTGTACAACCTGGTGTTTTCTGTTTAAAATACTACTTTCAGTCTTATGTGAGCAGAATAACGTTTGGCTAGGGGAATGCTTTTAAAACATTTTGTGCCATAAGTATATTCATTTGTTTTGTAACAAAAGCATACAGGTCTAATTCAATCTTCATCAGAAAGCCTTAAAATAGATTTTGTTGACCTGAACAAGTTACAGAAACGCTGCCTTTTGAGAGCCTGTCTCTGAACTCTGGCAACCTAATGACTTCTGCCACATTTCAGATCATTCTTATATGGAAGGCTCTATTGAAAGAGTATTAGAAACATTGAGCATTCGTGCCTTTGTATGAAAGGGTTTCTAGATAATCTGATTGGCTTTAGACTTGGACAAAGCACAGTCAATGTCCCGGATAAGAACCTCCTGCTACGTGCTGGCAGACTTGAGCGTGTGTTTGATTAGCTGATGTTAGCAACCTTGTTCAGTTCATTGGAATCAACTGCATGGATTTCTGTAGGAACTGCAATGTTTTCCCACTGTGTGACAATAGGTACCTTAATTAAAAAGGCTTGACATCAACAATCCTTGTAGGAATGTTTCTGTGAAAAGCCTCTGTGTGTTTTGCCTGCCAGTGCACAAATTGTGTTGGAAAGTTCATGTTTTTCTGAGCTTTTTCCTTCCTCCTTCCAGGAGAGAATAATTTCCTCAGATGAGGAAATCCAGTTTGTTCTTTTCTAGATATAAAGCCTCTCCTTTGACAATAGAGAGGTAGTATCCTGATTGTCTCGCCCACTTTTTCTTTGCTTTTTTGCACTGAATTTGGGAAGAAGTCACTGCCTTCTCACTGGAGAAGCGCGTAAATGGTTATGTTCACAGAGCGTGTATGAAGTGAGAGCTCTGCCAAATACAACACTAAGATGTTAATCAAGTCTTTACGAGAAGGGGTAGGTTCCCAGGAGTCTGGAAAATTAAATGTAATCTTAATTAGGAATAAGCATGTGACATGCTGGAAAACTGGTCATAGGATTTTTGAGATTCTTATTTCAAAGAATTTTAATGTAAAACTATATCTAGATAGTGGTCATACTTACTCATCTGAAATAAAAAGAATAATTTGCTCTGAAACAATCTGTATTGCTTCAACAGGATCTCCAGCAGAGCTGTCTCCTAGCACTCTCTCCCCAGTTAATCATAGCTTGGGTAAGCTGGAAATACTTGTAATTGTTTCTCTGTGTGTGATGACTCTTCTTTATATATATAATTACATTAAAAATGAAAATGGACTTTAAAAAAAGAACTGTATTAGGAGGAGACTATTGGGTAGGCTTCTGATGATAAACACAATAGGGCTGGATTAATAACTTGTTAAAAACTACTCTTGTTTCTGTAACTCTTGAGCTTCTAACGAAGAGGAAGAATAATATGGTTGTGTGTGCAGGAATAACATATTTAAAATAAATAGCTTAAAGAACGTTAGCCTATCCGTAGTGCTGCCCAGACTTGCTGACTCCCTTGTACGTGTGATCTGCTGCTCTTCTCATGTTCTTTTTCACCTGTGACCACATCACAATTGTTGCTCCCACGTAAGTTGCCCACCTGCTTTGATCAGGTGCCACTGCTGTGTGTCTATTTAAATGCCTCAGGAAGATCACGTGGCCTTGGGTTTTGTAAGGAATGGTGACAGGTAAATGCTGTTCACAATGCTGAGCAAGTAATTAGGGTAGGTAAAAAGGGGAAGCAGTACAGGAAAAGCTGAAGATGCACAGGGAATATACTGAGCTCTAGTAGGGGATAGTAAAAGGGGCTTAGAGCTGTCTTTAGATAAAGAGACAGTGTAAGATCTGGTGTAATACAGGAGAACATAGTTTCTATATTAATATTTTTTTACTTTGTGTGGTCGTATTTGATAGTTTAATGTTTTCTTTAACACTGCCAAAATGTTTGCTAGTTACAGAAAAACAGCAAAAACATCTCAATGTCTGGCACTCACAGCAATGTTACCTTAATCATTTTGCTGAGCAAAGTGCAAGTACTGAAGCACATGAGCTATGGTCCGATTAGATCACCCCTTCTTCCCCTCCTCCTTCCCTTGTGTGGAATGTTGAATTCTGTTCTGCTGACTGCGTAGGTAAAACTGACAGCGAGCAAAATATAATTTGAGTAGTTTGAGGAGACGACTGCTGTCTTTCCTGAAATAGACGAATATCAGGGCAGATAGATTTCTTTTCAGCCTCAAATTCTGTGTTAAGCTTGTTTTTTAAAATATTTTTTAGACTTGCAACCAGTTACTTACTCGGAGCCTGCGTTTTGGTGTTCAATAGCATATTATGAATTGAATCAAAGAGTGGGAGAAACCTTCCATGCATCACAGCCTTCCTTGACCGTGGATGGCTTTACAGATCCATCAAATTCAGAACGATTTTGTCTAGGTCTGCTTTCCAATGTAAACAGAAATGCTACAGTGGAAATGACAAGGCGACACATAGGTAAAAAATCTCTGATCTTTTAACTATTTAATTTCATTTTAGCCAATAAATTGCCTGGAATAGTCCAGGTAGGATGGGCAGATCTGTGTGTTGGGATCTTTTCACCCTTGTGCAGCCAGCACTGAACTCTCTTGAAGCTTGCCAAGGAGAACTTTGTCTCTCTTGCTAAGGACAGAAGTGGAAAGACACAGAGGTGACCACTTCTGAAATCAGGGAGAAGTGTAGCAGCTTCTGCTTCCTCAGCCAGTTGCAGTTGGGAAGAGATGCAGCGGTGGCTGGAGCTGACAGGAGCTGCCTTTCCTCCTTCGGTAGTCACCGAGTCGGTGGCAGAAGCTGTCAGGCTGAGTGCAGCATGGGAGGAAGCCACTCAGCTGGATGGGATTTCTGTTGCTCACGTTGCTGTTCTCTGCCTTCTGGAAAAACATAACGCACCCAAGCGTCCCGACGGGCAGGCTTTTGGCTTTCAGGCTCCTCGTTGGACTACTCTGCCCTGGGTAGCATTTGTATTTAGAGTTGCTTATGATTGAAACATAAGCTTCTTGAATTTTTTTCTGAAATGGGAAAAGCTGCCGTTGATATAATATGTTGTTTCAACATGATCAAGATTTTCTTTGTAATGGTTAGTAAAGAATATTGTTTTCCACAGTACAGCATCTTGGCTTTAAGCTCTTCATTAAACTACTTTTTTTTTTTTTTCTGGATTCTTTAATTTCCAGCATTCACAAGATACTTTTTTTTTTGGTTTTACTTTTCATAAAAAAGTTCAACCTCTTTAGTAGAACCTCTGACTCTCTATGCCGAATCCAAATTCTTGTCTAATAAAATTTTAGACGTGCAGAAACCCAGACTATGCCTATGCTAACTGATCAAAATGGTCAATGATAAGGAAAAGCAAAAATGTAAGGAGCTCTCACTTTTTTTATGGAGCAGCTTGCATTTTGTTTGAAAAATTGTTTTAAAGAGAAAGGGGAAGAGAAGCCTTGGCCTTTAAAAAGGACCTGTAAATTATAAATAGTTTTCTTTGAGACATCAGTTGTACATTGCTTCTCTTACTTGTGCTAAATAACCCATAGTTTTTTTTTTCCACTCAGGGAGAGTGGAATTTATTGAATTGGAATTTAATTCACAATTTAAAAGTGAACAGTAGGATTTCTTATAGGTATTTTTTTGTAATGGGGCTAGGCGAAGTCCTTTTGTTTTTGTCAAAGTAGGACAGAGAAGGGGTGTGCAGTGGGTTGTGAAATAGTGTGGGTGCGTGTAAGTGGAGAGTGTTGAACTGATATAGTTGTGTTTTCCTGTTTTGCCATAGTGGCCCATGTCACTTCACATGCAACACTTAATATTAGCACAAGTTTTAATTCTGTGGAATCTAATCTTTTTACTTCAGTTTTGTTATTTCTTTAAGTGAAAAAGTTATTTTGTAATTAACACTGCATCCTAACTTGGATTTGGTTGCAAACCCTTACATGACTAAAAAACTCTTATATCTCACTGTTGACTAAAAATTATTCTGCTACTCCTTCAAATACTGTGTGTTCACGGGAGAAAAATGCAAGTTAATTGTGTTCTGCATCTGCTACAGCTGTCAGCCCCACGGTGTGGTCCTGTAGACAATTGATTTTTGTTTCTGTTGTAAAGAAAAACCTTCGCCTTCTCTGACGCAAAATACTCCTTTGTTTGTTAATGTGCTTGAGTCATATCATAACCAGAGTTCCTTCTAATTTTGCTACAGGAAGGGGAGTACGCCTCTATTACATTGGTGGAGAAGTTTTTGCTGAGTGCCTAAGCGACAGCGCGATTTTTGTTCAGAGCCCCAACTGTAATCAAAGATACGGCTGGCATCCTGCGACTGTATGCAAAATTCCTCCAGGTCAGTAGCCTACCAGAGATGCCGCTCAAAAAACATCCAGTGAATGTGTTTGCTGGGTGACATTTGCTTTCCTTTTGGTAGTTTCTTCATATTTTCTGGCTTCTGTGTCGCAAACACAAATATTCATTGATTGTACCCTCTTGACTTTTTTTTTTTCGTTGTAGGATGCAATCTGAAAATCTTTAATAACCAAGAATTCGCTGCTCTTCTGGCTCAGTCTGTGAATCAGGGTTTTGAAGCAGTTTATCAGCTTACTAGAATGTGTACCATAAGAATGAGTTTTGTTAAAGGATGGGGAGCTGAATACAGGTAAGGAAAAATGTGCTTTTAAATTTATAGTTAATGATTTTTCTTCTTTCACTAATACGCTATGTTGTCTGGCTTGAAAGCCAGTTACTCTGTCTGCAAGTCGAACCCGTATGTTCCTTTTTCTGCCCCTCAGCTATGGAGCTCCTAAGTTATGAAGAACACTAAACTGATTTTTGCATTGAAGTCAGCTGCTGAATCAGGAATATTGTCAGAGTTCTGTTTCTTTGCTGAGTCCTGCTTGGTCACTTATTGTGGTGAAGTCACTGACAACATCTGGAAATTTTACAGTTTGTGCTATGGAGAGGGGCGTTTTACAAGGGCCTGTAGTCACAGGACAAGGGGCAATGGCTTTAAACTGAAAGAGGGGAGATTTAGATTAGATCTAAGGAAGAAATTTTTCACTCAGAGGGTGGTGAGGCACTGGAACAGGTTACCCAGAGAAGTTGTGGCTGCCCCATCCCTGGCAGTGTTCAAGGCCAGGTTGGATGAGGCTTTGGGCAACCTGGTGTAGTGGAGGATTTCTCTGCCATGTCAGGGGGGTTGGAACTAGATGATCTTTGAGGTCCCTTCCAACCCAAACCATTCTGTGATTCTATGAGATTATTTGCTGTTTGTTGGAAGTACAGTAATTTTGGTCTCTGTCCTGTTCTATATGGAGTATAATGAGTTTATTAGGTTGTGGTGCAGGACGCAGCTTGTAGTACCAAATGGAAAGAATTGGAGTCACTTGGAGTGCATTCTGCAGAATAAAACAGCTGGAGAACACACATTTAAGGGATGGCAACTATATTGGAACTTGCGTGAAAAACTTTGCAGGGGCATGGTGACTGTGTTTGTGTAGTAAAATTGCTAAAACCATGTTTTTTTGAGTGGAAAAAACAGTCTTTTATCTGCTTTTGAATAGGTTTCAATCATATTCTCTATTAGCACAAACTAAGAGCTATAGTTGAGGACAGTGCCTGTTTTTAATGTAGTATGGGAATTTAGGAAGAAAAGGAATTGTATTATAACTGAACAGTATTAAAGACTTCATTATTTTAGAGAGCTAGAGATGTGGTTTTAACCAAATGTCTTAAACCTCTCCAGAAATTGTCCAATGAAAGAATGAAGTCTGACATATCAATACCTCATTGCCATATTTAAATCCATGTAATTTCTGAAGTTGAATAATGGCATGTAGGTTCCACTGTGAATCTTGGGGTTTTGATTCTCTTATCTGCTCTTGAAATACATACATGTAAATAGCAGCATCAATACGTGGGGGAGGCTTCTTGGCTAAATGAAGCCAGTTCTGTAAAAGCCTAATTAGATAAAATGAGAAATTTGAGTAATGGAGTGAGTTGGTACTTCTGTTAGCAAGAGGTACACAAGAAAGAACCTGGCTCAAGTTTAAAGAACTGTTGAATTTGTCTCAAAAGGAGTATGTATACACTTAGGCATAATTAAATACAACATTCAAATCAGAACAGAAGAAACGCTTCATCAGTCGGATTGTATGGAGACAGCTTGAAGTGAACGGAGTGCGAGTGCTGGGTTAAAACAGCGGGGAGGCTTTTGGTGAAGTTATTTCTGAAGAAGGAGAATGTTGGTTGTTAGTAGTCTGTAAACCCTTCAGAGATCATAGGGTTGAAAAAGCTCCAGTGGAAACAGTGCCAAAACAGCGCAGAAACTGATGCTGACATCATACTGAACTAGTTTCCTTGCATCTCTGTTTAAGATGGTGGTGCTAATAAATTATTGATGCACCAAACTTGTAAGTTATGCTGCAGTTGTGATTAAAGCGTGAAAAGGTTGCTCCTCCAAACACAACCTGGAATTTAAATTAATGTAGCCCGAACTGTCAAAATAGACCAGGGAGAACTGTGAAATCCGTCATTCTTGTTCAAACTTTGTGCTTCGTTATTACATGGAAAACGTTTCTGCTCGAACTGGGTTTGTCGAAGCCAAAGCATTACTTACCAGTTAGGCATATGGTGTATGTGCATAAACCTGCAGATAAGGCAAGGCAGTAGACTTTATAAGCTTGGGAGACAAAATAGCTTACAGCTTTTTGCTCAATAAACGTTGGCTTGAATTGGGGATGGTGGTAGAAGTTCACATCAGAAGACAAATGTTCAGATTAACGCAGGAAATACCCAGGTCTAGAATCATCTTCTGAAGAAAGTTAACTAGAGGTAATTACAGAAAAGAGAGTTAATGATACGCGAACTAGATGGAAATCCGTGGGTAGGAGAGGGCGAGTTTTGGCTTTGAGATGGCTGCTGAGTGACTGCCACTATTTTACCCACTTTCACCAGTGTAGTGCGAAGCCAGAGCTGTTGAGCAGAACGAGTTATAAAATTTTGAGGAAGCGTGTTGTGGAACACATCGTAGGGGAGTTGACAGCAGTGGAATAGTGAACTTCCTTCATTGGGAGAGGATTCGAGACTAAATGGAATTATATTTCCCGTGGTTTAGATTGTTCTTTTATTGGATCACTGTTTTGGCGTAGGCATTTGGGACTAAGATAACAATGTTTTTTAGAGTGCTGAGAGAGCACAGACCCCAGCTGCTTTTTTCTCCTAGAAAACGTGAAACCACAGACAACTGTTGAAATCTGTTCTCTCACTGGCTTAATCTTTCTGCCTTTCAGTTCCTCTGTTTATATAAACAGATTTCCTTAAAGCGAAGGGTCGCATTGCTGACAGTAAAAATGAAGGGGCTGACTTATCTGCTGCCTTTGAATCTTAATGCCTCCTTGCTTTGAATTTGGGGGAGCTAGAATTACTAGGAAAAACTGGCTTAGCAACAGCGGTCTTGCCAGTCTAGTTTGGGAAAACTCCCATGCCTGGAGTGGGTACAGTGAAATAACAGGATTTTTCTCAGGCAGTTTGTTCAGTACTGATTTCTGTACTTTAGAGAGGGGAAGGAAGATTTTTCAGTAGGAGGTCTCTGAAATAAGGATATAGGGGAGAGTGAATGAAACTTTTCTGGTTGTCAGCCCTTCAGCTTTACTGAGGCTTCCTATATAGTGTTTAATTAAGGGCTTTTTTTTGTGGAAAACTATGGGCGAGTTTATACAGAAATCAAGGGAAACACTTTTTTTACTTAAATTGCTTGTGTGAGGGTGTTACAGTACAAAACACACGTAGAAGTGTAAGATTACAGGAAATCAGAGACAAAGCTTGGTGTTCCTTTGAGATAGCATCACTTAGCACAGCACAACCACACACTGTGTTTTGACACAGTGTTTCTGACAACGTCTGGCAACTTCCTGATACATTTGTCTTGTCAATTGCTCCAAAAAGCCAGACCTTAGGATTGCAATAGTATTGTGCTGTGTTTGGCCACACTGACAGTGCAGAGCCAGGTGTTTCTAGTCCGTATTTCTCAATAGCTGCCTCAGAAATCCAAACCCAGTTATGCATGCAGACCCTTTGAAGGTTAAGGTACAGCTGCAAACAGCTATCTGCGATGCGAACGCCACACTGGTTGGACAGTCTTCAGATTTGAGTTTCTTTTTAGAAGTAAGGCTCTTGGTGTGGCACTTGAAGCAGATGCTGCAGTTCTTATCTTATTCTCCAGAGCAGAATATTCTTGAGGTGTTATGGATAAGCATGTAATTATTGATATGTCTTATAGATGTGAAGTGTTTTGGATTTCTTTGTTTGGGTTTTTTTTTTTTCCTTCAAAGACTGTCTGAAAAAAAAGCTTAGTAGCAGCTATGGTAATAGTTGCAGATTTTTATCTTTCTACATAGTGGATATGGATGGAAACATATTTGATCATATGATGGAGAACTTTGTGGCAATCAAAGCTGCTTTCTGACTTTCCTGTTATTGTTTTTATTTTTTAGGCGGCAAACAGTAACAAGCACTCCTTGCTGGATTGAACTTCATCTGAATGGACCTCTACAATGGTTGGACAAAGTATTGACTCAGATGGGCTCCCCTTCAGTACGCTGCTCCAGCATGTCGTAAAACTCCTTCCTCTGTTGCCAGTGGGCTAAATATCGAGTCCAGTCAACAGACTTAATATAACAGCTCGTCTGTCGTAGTATTTGTGTGTGGTCCCCATGAACTGTTTACTATCCAAAAAGGTTTTTTTTTAAAAAAAAAAAAACAAAACAAAACAAAAAAAAAAAACACAAAAAAAGAAAAACAGCACTTGAGGTCTCATCAATTAAAGCACCTTGTGGATTCTGTTTCCTATACTCTGATACTAGATGAAAATTTAGTGTATAGAAATGCCTTCTTCAGAAAGAAGAAGGGACAGTTCTAAAGACTCTTAATGGTGTTTTTATTGGGTATATAATTGAGTGTCCTAATGGTTTATCAATAACATGAGTAGCTAAGTATATGTACAGGTAATGTATCATGATCTCAGATATCACGGTATTGTGCTGTTCTACATTTTAGTTCCCATAAATAGTTGTTTGTTTTCTTGATTGGGGCAAATCTCATAAAATTCCGAGACTCTACTCCTCTATTCTTTTATATTTTTTTATATAAGCGGGTTTTCAAATTGTCCTAAACATAAAAAGCAGACTTTCCTTGTAGAAAAGCTTAACTTTTTGCTGCCTTCTTAAAGAAAAAGAAAATCCCTCCGTTGGAAGGGAAAGAAATGTCTTGAGGTTCATCTGTGAAATCTTAAGACACTTTATGTGCTTAATGGGGCCTAAAATGAATTCATGCTATAAATTCCAAGTATCCATCACACTAGGAGTCTACTTTTCCCTACTCGTCTGAGTTGATGCATCTGTTGCCAGCAGTATCGCTGACATTGATGTAATTTGGGACTTTTTTCGTACCTTGAATCATTGAAATCTGTTTCTTTTCTCATGGAATAAGAATTTACCATAGCATTGGATACTGGATTAAGTACACAAGGTTATTGGCTTTACCCCTTACATCTGTATTTTTTCATAAAACAGATGTCACTAAAAATGATATTTTTTAGTTTTTGGAGCCAAATACCTTGAAAAATCCTTTCCCAGGGTAAACTAGACTCTTTCGTATAGATTTTAAATAGATGCAGCTTCTTAACATATTTCAGTAACAGAATTTAAATTTCTGATCTGAGTGGCTTTGTATAGCTGACTTACGTACCAGATCATACGCATTCATTATGTCATAATGGGCCTTGTTGTTGAAAGTAGTTGCTTCTGCAAAACCTCTAGGATAGTGGTTGCTGAGGTATGACCAGCGAAGGAGGACTTGTAGGTTCTTCATGACAGTGCATGTTATTGTGAACCCTTGGACACTACAGCTGCACCATATTAAAAATATTCTGAAATATATTCTACAGATAAGTCTGGGTTGGGGAAGGGTTGGGAAATTGTATAGAAGGGTTATTCTGACTTGAAAAATATACATCTTACTAACAATCTTGTGATCTAGCTGTCTGTCATTCTTTTGTTATTGTGGCAGTAGCAGGATTGCCTTTGTCTGTTTTCCCCATTGTTTCATCCATTACACTAGTACTGTACTTTGTAAGTACAACTAGTGATAACTTAGCTTGGAGAACAAAAACGTGGCCAGTGTTACAGCTTTTGATCAGTTGACTGAATTGATGATAGTGATGGATATTTTTATGCCGTAATGACTAGGGCATAGAAGCAATACCAAAAATCACGCCTCGAAAAAGTGGGCCAGACACCTTTAAAAAAATTGGCAAAGCGTTTACCAGTTTGTGCTAGTTTTACCAGTAGACTAATGTATTGGTAGAACTTGTGAACCTAAGAAATAAGCTTCATGCGTGTTGCATTTGCCTAATATGTGAATACACTAATAAAAGTTTTAATTCTCATGATGGTTGGGTTTTTTATTAATTGCTGTGTATACTTTCTGTCGAAGATTAGGAATCATTCCAACCCACCCAAATAAACAGCACAAGTATCCTGCATTTTGTGGCAGGAAAGATACAGGTTAGATGTTAAAATCGCCTCTCATGCAGCTGTCGTGGAGGTTCTGGATCTGCGTGTGTTTAATGATACGGGCTTCTGCTCCAGAGGGAGTTTATTAAAGCAGTCGCTTTTTTTTCTGCCGCAATCAAATTACACCCTACTAGCTCAGATGTTTACTTTCACCTGTGAAACAGATAAGAGCGACTTGTCTGTGTGAAAGACTCCCATTGCATTTGTGAGCAGGTTGCAACTTGAATCCGTTGGGTGACCTAATTCTGTAGTCTCCTCACTGTGGATTTCTGTGCGCATTCTTTCAGTGACGGCAATATTACTTGCTTTGCCTTGAACGTTGTGATAACCTTGAGTGTACCCTTTTTTGGTGCACGAGTGCAAGTAGCGTTACAAGGGCACTGCCAGCGTTATCCGTGGACCTGTGGTGCTGCCTGCGTGCAAGGCCATCTCTGTCTGCCTAGAAGCCACTTTTCTTGACTTTTGTTAGTACCACCAAAATACTCTCTCTTGCTTCAGCCACAGCACAGTTGAACAAGGGAGCTTATCTGCATTCAGAATTTTTTCTTGCCTGTATTTAATTTAAACGCCTTTGGCAGTTCTTGAGTAACTTTGACCCACTCCTGTTTCTTAATCCAGTGCCTTTCTGACACATCCCACTGCTATTCTGCTCTTCCTCAGAATCTGACCAGTGCCCACTCAAGCATCTTAGTGCAGAATGCCGGTGGTACGTAAGGAATGCGACTTCATCCCTCTTCACTTCTGCCAGCCAAAGTACTGATGTCCAAAGTACAAATGAAAAGTGAATTATTTTTTTCCATAAGGCTTTTTTGTTAAATAAAATACTTAACAAGCAGGGAGTAATCATATGTGGCTGTTCCCTTAAGTTTGGACTGGGATTCCATGTGCCTGAGTTCTGATCTCTTCTATCACTAGCCCTGTCTGAGCTTGACTTTCATAGTACTGCCACATCCAAGCAGTCAAAAATCAGGTAGCTGAGGTAAACACCCAAGCCTAAAAATTAGTTTTGAGTTGCCTTTTAGCAGCTTGGATGCACTGAGCTGACAATTTCAGAACCCTTCCTCCTCCAAAGAAAAAGCCAGTTTCATTTAGAAGCTGTTCCAGGGCTGAGGCTTCGAAAGCAATGTCGAATGCCTGGACTCTTGCACCTTTAAACTGTGAAAATTGATAGCAGAGCGTCATCTCTGTGTATTTCCTCCTTCCTTTCATGCATGTTTCCTCTCTAGGTGGTAACCATACTGCAACAGGAATTCTCTGCTGTTACTTCAGCATCTTGCGTGTAGTCCTTTGGCTTCCAGGTGCCGTTACGCAAATCTAGGACGTGGTGAGAGCTGTGGTGGTTTCTTGTTCTTATGCAGGACTTTGTGCTTAATCAGAACTTAACCTCCTTGAGACCGATTGCCAGCAAACAGCATAAATAGCTCAACTTCGGGCTAGACCTTTGTATAATCAGCAGGGAGAGGTAAAGTCTGAATCTGGGGCTCTGAACTGCTCTCCTTGAGGCCGAGGTGCTAGATTTAAATGCATGAAGTAGGTATGAATATATGCCTTGAAAAGTTCTTGAATGCTATCAAAGTAGTCAGCTTAGATGTTCAGGAATAATAGGTTTAAACTGATTTACACAGTAAAAACTAGACATCTCAACTACCATGCTTCACTCAGCTTTTTATTTTCATGTGTCCAACCTGACTTTTCGTGTTGAAGTGGGAGGGTGTGAAGTTTTGGGGTGTTGATAATCATCTGCAGCTCTAAATCGTTGGCACAGTGAACTGTGAGTGTTTTGTTTTAACCTTCAAGCTTGTCACACTTCGTTGTGGTTACAGCTTTTTTTAGCGTTGCAAACTGAAATTTTACTGCAGCTGGGTTTTGAGTTAAAATATTGTGAAATACAGGATTTCACTACACTCCACCCACACCATGTTTTACTTGAGTATGAAGCAGTGTTCCTTCTACCAAAACAAGTTTGACTATAACCTAATTTTGGAGATGCTAAAGCTTCGGTACTAGCTCTGAAGAGTCGGTGAGATACTGGCTTTGTTAGAAGAATTACAGATGTAGCAAGTAACACACCAGCTGTATTGGAAAGTGCTTCTAGAAGGACCTGCTCAGGGAATTAAATTGCAACTGAAAGGTTGTTACTATTAGGAAGATATTAATGAAATATGTGTTTTCCTGACCACTTAAGTAAATAACCATCATAAAGTATTAAAGGAGATAATGTGTTAAAGGAGACCATATAAAAATAACCTTCAGTCATGCTGGTCCTTACTTTTCCTTGTCTCTTTCCTGTAAAAATCTATCTAAGATCGCTGTTTCTTCTCTTGGGAAAGCACAGTTTGTGGAGTAAGTTTCTAGTACTAGATCGTCACAGCTACGACAGCTACAGTCGAGGCTTCAAAGCTGAGAACAGCCTTTGATGTTACATTAGCTGTTGTTTCATTAACTGTAATCAGGATTGCATCTAGTTACTTGGCAGAAAAAAAAAAAAAGGACGACAAATAGTGGCTATGTAAAGATGTCAGACCTTGATGCTCTTGATCCTTTTCCCCCGTGTAGAAGATCTGGTCAGAACGGATGACACTACAGCCCAGTTGCTTGCTCTGTTCCTTTGGAGTAGGATCCAAAGTGGCAATGGACATAGATGCTCCAGCCCCGCTATTTTTTTTTTTTTTCTTTTTATTTGCGGCAGTTGAAGCAAAGCTTCTGTCACTCTTGATTTTTCTCTTAACAGCATCTCGCCGTTTGCTTGTCTAAAGCCATAGTAAGGTATCATAAAAAATTTGTGTGCCTCATTGATTAATTTGGCTTATGACCAATGTGTACTTAAGGCTGCAAATCCCATTTGATTTTAAAACTGATCTTTGCTTTAAAGTCTTGCTTACTTGCCTTTTCATTTTGAAGAGAAATTCCAAGAAAAACTGTTGTGACACCAAGCATAGAATATCATTAAATTTATTTTGCCTACCATTGCAGTTCCATCTTCAGGTGAAGGGGTAGATGCTGTCCATCAGTTCTTATTTAATCTTTGAAAGGAGTTGTCCAGGTGGCTGGTCACCTTTGATCAAGGAGTAACAAAACAGGGAGGCTGGAACATCCAGCATGCAGCCAGTTTACAAGGAAGCTAGAGTAGAGGTCAAGCTAAGGAATTATACTCAGGACCAGGGAATTGCAAACTCCC